CTCTTCAATGTGGCCTCTTCTCTACATTTAAGTTATGGAGTTTGTTCTTCAGTCTTTGGTTATTTTCTGGGTTATTTACCCTGTTGGGAGTGTTATCTAGTTGTATCAGTGGGACATGAAATTAGGGTCCTCCTGTTCCCATATCTTCCAGCAATCTCCTATCTCTCATCTTCTTCATCCATTGATATGGATGGATGGTTAGGTTGTTTCCGTATCTTGACTATTGTTAATTAACATAGGGGTGTATATATCTTTTCAAGTTAATGTTTTCTTTTCCTTCAGATAAATATCCAAAAGTGGAGTTGCTGGCTCACACGGTAGTTCCATTTTTAATTTTTTAAGAATTCTCCATATGGCTCTCCATAGTGGCTGCACCAATTTAAATTCCCACCAACCATGCACAGGGCTTCCCTTTCTTCCACATCCTCACCAACACTATTTCTCATCTTTTTGGCAGTAGCAATTCTAACAGGTGTGTAGTGATATGTCATTATGGTTTGGATTTACATTTCCCTGATGATTAGTGATGTTGAGCACCTTTTCATGTACCAGTCAGTCATCTGTATATCTTCTTCCAAAAAACGTCTACTCTGATCCTCTCCCCATTTTTAAAATCAGGCATGGGGCGCCTGGGTGGCTCAGTCGGTTAAGCGTCCGACTTCAGCCAGGTCACGATCTCGCGGTCCGTGAGTTCGAGCCCCGCGTCGGGCTCTGGGCTGATGGCTCAGAGCCTGGAGCCTGTTTCCGATTCTGTGTCTCCCTCTCTCTCTGCCCCTCCCCCGTTCATGCTCTGTCTCTCTCTGTCTCAAAAATAAATAAACGTTAAAAAAAAAAATTAAAAAAAAAAATCAGGCTTACTGGGGGATTTCTGGTGTGATTTTTGTTTGCATTGTTTCTGCTATGCTGTTGAGTTTGAGGAGTTCTTTATGTATTTTGTATACTAACCCACTGTCAGATATATGATTTGCAAATATTTTCTGTAGCCTGCCTTCTCGTTTTTTTGATGGTTTCCTTTATACCGGAGATTTTTAGTTTGATGTAGTCCTTCTTTATTTGCTTTTGTTGCCTTTGCTTTTATTGTCAAATCCATAAAGTCACCACCAAGACCAACATTAAGGAGCTTACCATCAATGTTTTCTTCTGGGAGTCTTATGGTTTCAGGTCTCAAATTCAACTTCAATCCATTTTGAGTTAATCTTTGTGTATGTGGTAAGATAATGGTCCAGTTTCATTCTTTTGCATGTGGCTGTCCAGTTTTCCCAATATCATTTACTCTTCAATAATGTGTATTATATATTCTTGGCTCCTTTGTCATAAATTAATTGACCATATTTGCATAGACTTAGTTCTGATGCTCTCCATTCTCTTCCAGTTTTCTGTGTGTTTTATGCCAATACTGCTCTGATTACTATGGACTTGTAATACACTTTGACATCTGGAAGTGTGATGCTTTCATATTTGTTCTTTCTCATGATTGCTTTGGCTGTTTGGGTTTTTTTTTTTTTTTGGCTCCATACAAATTTTAGGATTGTTTATTTCTGTGAAAAATACCACTGAAATTTTGATAGAGATTGCGCTGAATCTGTACACTGCTTTGAGTAGTATGGACATTTTAACAACATTAATTATTCTTATCCATGAGCACCAAATATCTTTCCATTCATTTGTGTCTTTTTCAGGTTCTTTCACCAATATCTTATAGTTTTTAGTGTACACGTTATTTTACCTCCTTGATTTAATTTATTCTGAGGTGTTTTAGTCTCTTTAACACAGTTACAAATGGGATTATTTTCTTAATATCTCTGATAGTTTATTATATATAAATGCAACAGGTACTTGAACTTTTTTTAAGTTTATTTATTTTGAGAGACAGAAAATGAGGGAAGGAGAGAGACAGAATCCCAAGCAGGTTCCTCACTGTCAGGGCAAAGCCCCAAGGCAGGGCTCAAACTTACAAACTGTGAGATCATGACCTGAGCTGAAACCAAGAGTTGGACACTTTTAACCGACTGAGCTATCCAGGGGCCCCAAACATTTTCTCTCTTTTGTGTATCTACTCCAAAGTTTTGCTTTGTAGTTAACCTGAGACTTACATAAGACTACTTGTATCTTTAACAGTCAATTTTAAGTTAATAACAACTTAAATTGGGACACATTCTAAAGCTCTACAGTTTGTACTCCTCCCCCATTTACTGTAGCATGATCCACACATGTTCATCCTGCTCATTTATTGTTTATATAGTTTTTTAAAATAAGCTCTTAGATAAATGTGGACCGGCTAAGGCTATTAAAACAGTTATACATGACATTAAGAGAAAATTTAATAGTTCCTAGATTCTGCCTAAACATGTTTGGCTCTAAAGTTAATTTCACAATAGGAGATAAATATTCTATATTTAGATTCAAGTCAAAGTAATACCTATCTGGAGAGTGCAAGCTTCAAATCTATTTTGTACTATATTAAATGGGAATAAAACTTCTGAACGCTATAAGGTAATGCAATCACACGGACCTAAACTCATTGTTTCTTCATACGCAGATGTAAAATTTTTATTTTACCAGAGACTTCCAGCCTAATTTGCTTTCTTGGAAACCAGACAACTCAGTCATCATGTAATCAATATGCAGTTATTCGAGTGAAGATAGTGAGGGCTTGTAGAAGACAGCTGTGCAATGAGGAGGGAGGGAGGCAGGCCTGTTTTCTTGGCTGCACCAGTTTAGAGTGGAATTTCTGTTTGACTAAACTGGGAGGTGAAAGGAACGTGTGTTGTTTCAAATACCACAGATTCTCACTGTTCTCAACAAATCTTGGTGCACTTTCTCGAATAAGTGGCCATTTGCCGTATATCCTTGGGACCACTTCTAGAGACTTTAAATGACTGTTGTTTTAGAATTTTCACCATTTCTCTGGGCAATCGGTCTATGGAGGCTCATGCTTCATCCTGGAAGTGCCTCTCATGTTATCTTTTATGCCCAAAATGTTTTCTTGGGTTGTACTTTTGATTGTCTTCTTTAGGGACTCTAATTATATATACATGTCAGACCTCCTTTGGCTATCTTCCATTTCAACCACTTTCTGACAATTTTTTCCCTCATTTCCATTTTCTTTGTTTTCCTGTACATTCCTGATAGGATTTTTTGCCTTTATGTTCTATTTTTCTTTTCTTGAATTCATTTCTTGTTTACATTTTTTGCTTTCTTGACCATTACTGTTCTTTGTGTTGCTTATACGGGTTTTTTTTTTTTCATATCCCCAAATGCTTATTTGATGACACTCTCATTCTTAATTTCCTTGTTTTCCTCACTGCCACACCTCTATGAGGAGCTAACTCTTCTGTGTGTATCTGATTCTTCCTCAGAAGCAATGCTTCTCTGAGGCTGCCTCTTCATGCCCTGCTGTCTTTAATAGTCATGTCCCTGTATCTTGTGCCACAAACCACTGTGTCTGACCTGTGTTCGGTATTTTGGCATTTGGTATTAGGCGTTTTCTTAGTTGTCTGTGTCCCTCTACTCTTAAGCCTTACCTCCCCACCCTTAGCACCCACGGGCTTGCAACAATAGGAAGTCAGAAGGAACACTTAGAATTTATGTCTCTATTAAGGCAATGAGAAGGTCATGGTATTCTTTGCCTCCTAGTCATACTGAAGAGATGAGTGAGCCATGTTTTTATTTCCTCTGATTGTTAATCTGAACACTTTTTAAGTCTGAGAAAAATCGGGCTGCTGCCACTATCCTCCAGAAAGCTTTGTGAGGCTTTTAAATTAGACACAAGATTGTTTAAATTGTTCTTCGTTGTTGACAAAGTTTGTCAGTTGCATTCTTCTGTATGTAATTTCCTAAGTTTTTAATATTCTGTTACTATATTTTATGCAGAATCAGGAACAATAAACAAGACATTGTCATTGTTGCTACTGGTGACACATGCCTTCTCTTTTCTTTTTTGATCAGTCCTTTTAGGGATGTGGCAGCTTTGAAAACACTGATAAGGTCTCTGACATCTCTCTCAAGAACCGAAGTCTGTGCTTTCCCCCTAGAATCTTGAGGACAGTGACTGCTTCCACCAGTAATATATTGTGGATATGTGAGACTATATGAATTCCGAGGCGAGGTCATAAAATGCCTTGTCGTTTCACGCTGGTTTTATGAGGATGTGAACTCTAAAGGAAGTTAGTTGCTATGTAAGAAATTAGTTTATCCTGAGAGTACAAATCTCCTGATTAGTCCATCCTGAGGACAACACCTGCCTTTTGCCCTCACAAAACTATTTCAGTACACTGACAGGGGCAGAGTTCAGAAGGCAAAGAATTCAAATAATAAATGTTACACAGGAAGCCACAGAAGTAGAGATGTAATAGATAAAGCAGTCAGGGGGCTTTCATATACCCATATGTGAATAACTGGTTTGAATACATATTCAGTCTGCTCCCCCACTCCTTTCACATTGTGTATGGGGCGGGAGGGGTTAAGTTTTATCCCTACTATACAACATGTTGCATTTCTAGGAATTTTTAAACATAGTATACAATGAGAAAAATGAAAACTTTAAAACAAAAAAAAACAAAAAAGCTATGGATTAGGGAAGTTCAGAAAATACCAGCAACTAGTATACTGCTAAGAACCAACGGGTTGTCAATTAACATTTATTGCATGAATGTGGATGAATCAGATTATTTCGAGTAGGTTTCTGGCCTAAATCACCATAAGCCTAATATGAAATAAAAAGTTACTGAACTATTAATTCATATCCTTCAAAGTGCTGATCTCTCTGGAACCATATCTACTTCCTTGAGAACAGTTTAGTCTCTCAATGTAAAATATTTCAAAAAAGATTAAAATAATCTTTTGCAATCCATGAAGAAAAAAACAAACTGGTGACTGTTTTTAGGCTAGTGAGAAAAAAAAATGGAATGACTTTAATACGTATGTGGCGTTTAACAAATTATTCTGTAGTTTTATCACATATTAAATGAACAGCTTAAAATAATTTGTGAATAACCTACCAAATCCAGGAACACTTTTGAGACTGGCTTTGAGGCAAATTTTCTCCAATCTGAGGTAGCTATATCTCATCAGACAATTCCACAGGAACATCCAGTCCATTCTTGTCCGATGATTCATGATAATGACACTTCTCTCTCCAGGAACGAATGCATCACCTGTTATAATAACTTTTACACCAAACATGGTCTCCAACAATGCCTAAGGAATAAACAATATAGGTATGTGACAATTTAAAGTTATAATTTCCCATAGGTAAATTGTATCATGTTCTGTAAATAAATCTGATTTCTAGTAAGTCAAAGGCATAGTGTTGCTCAAGATTATGGCTTCTATAATAAATCTGGAAAAAGAAGTTAATCTGGAAGAATGAGAATATAAAGGCAGTATTTTTATTTTTAGTTTTATTAATTTAGGTTTCTGACAGTTTCCTAATTAAATGTTAGCTTTCATTGAAATCTTCAAGATATATTAACTTGAAAAAAAGTGTAAAAGATACACAAGAAGATTCCACTACATAATTTTTTAAGGCTATAGATACATAGGATGATTACTTTCCAGAAAGGATAATCAAGAAATTTAGCACTGAGTACAGGGCTGAAGGAACAGAAAGTCAAATTCTTCATTTTATACCTTTCTCTATTATGATCTCTTTAAACAAACATACGTATCTATTTAACAATATATAAATAATAAACCAGATGTTTATAAAGTCCTGCAACCCTAGCACCTACAACAGTGTCTGGCACCTGGAAGATGCCCAAATATTTGCTGAATTTGTTTAATTAACTTTTCTGCTAACCAGCCGTATAATATACGTGAAATATTGAAAGTATATTCCATGCTGGAATTCTTGTGGAGAAAAAAAACAGGAAATAAGAAACCTTGATTTCAATCCCTTATTTAAATTTTCCAATAATTTATATATAACAAATTAATATAGGACTTCACTATGAATGGAGAGAAAACTGGTCCAAGACAGAGCAAAGGTAAGAAAATCAAAACTTCTCTCCGGCAACAACATCATGAAAACCTCTAGAGAAGCACAGCACGTATAGTGCAGTTGAAACAATGAAAGTAAATGAACTACAGGTGTCTATGACATGGATGGCACACAAACATAATACTGAGAGAAGCGAAACAAACAAAAAGTGTCCTGTAGAAATTTTTTAAAACAGTAAGATATTTTAGGTGTATATAGCCAGTGAAATTGTAAAGAACAGCAAGGAAAGGGCTATCTTACAGTCAAGTTACTGGCTACTTCTACCAAATAGATGATTGTGATTTGAAAGCTAGATGGCTTGCTGGAGGGTGGCCAATATTCTAGTTCTTGACCTGGTTGATAGTTACACCTTAATATATAATTTTAAAGTGTGCGTTTATGTTTTATTAACTTTCAATATGTTTGTTACATTTCACAAAAACTTTTTTTTAAATAACATGACACAGGTGAACAACAGGACTTTAAAACAAAAATAGGACCAAGAAAAAAACAGTTCAAAGGGAATATCAGCTAAGGAAAAGTTAGAAATGTTTTATGCCCAAAGAATTATAGAGTCAGAGTGTTAACACCTTAACAGAGTAAAACAGGTATCTCACAGGACCCAGTGAGTTACTTTCCCACAGCGGAGATTCACTTTAGGGCATGGGTGTTTAACCTGACATCAAGTCCTAGAAGGACAGCCTTCAAGAAGTAAATAAACGTGCCAATACCATACTATCTTGATGATTACAGCTTTGTACTAGAGGCTAAAGTCCGGGACTCTGATGCCTCTAGCTTTGGTTTTCTTTTTCAAGATTACTTTGGCTATTCGGGGTCCTTTGTGGTTCCATACAAATTTTAGGATTGTTCTAGCTGTGAGAAGAATGCCAGTGCTATTTTGACTGGGATTGCATTGAATGTGTAGATTGCTTTGGGTAGTATTGACATTTTAACAATATTTGTTCTTCTAATCCATGAGCATGGAATGTTTTGCCATTTTTTTGTGTCTTCTTCAATTTCTTTCATAAATTTTCTATAGTTTTCAGCATACAGATCTTTTACCTCTTTGGTTAGGTTTATTCCTAAGTATTTTATGGTTCTTGAAACAAATGTAAATGGTATCGATTTCTTGATTTCTTTTTCTGTTGCTTCATTATTAGAGCATAGAAATGCAACAAATTTCTGTACATTGATTTTGTATCCTGTGACTTTGCTGAACTCATGTATCAGTTCTAGCAGCTTTTTGGTGGTCTTTTGGATTTTCCACGTAGAGTATCAGGTCATCTGCAAAAAAGTGGAAGTTTGACTTCTTTGCCTATATGGATGCCTTTTATTTCATTTTGTTGTCTGATTGCTGATGCTAGGACTTCCAACACTATGTTAAACAACAGTGGTAAGAGTGGACATCTCTGTCGTGTTCCTGATCTCAGGGGGAAAGCTCTTAGTTTTTGCCCATTGAGGATGATAGTAGCTGTGGGCTTTTCATTTATGGCTTTTATGATGTTAAGGTATGTTCCTTCTTTTTCTTTTTTAATTTTAATATTTATTTATTTTTGAGAGAAGGAGACACAGAATTAGAAGCAGGCTCTGAGCTGTTGGCACAGAGCCTGACATGGGGCTCAAACTCACAAGCAGTGAGATCATGATCTGAGCCTAACTAAGCCACCCACCCAGGCGCCCCAAGGTATGTTCCTTCTATCCCAACTTTCTTGAGGGTTTTTAAAGAAAGGATGTTGTATTTAGTCAAATGCTTCTCTGCATCTATGGACAGGATCATACCGTTCTTCTCTTCTATTAATGTGATGGATTGCACTGATTGATTTGCAAATATTAAACCAGCCCAGGAATGAATCCCACTTGATAATTCTTTTAACATGCTGTTGAATTCGATTTGCCAGTATCTTGTTAAGAGTTTTTACATCTGTGTCCATCAGGGATATTAGCCTGTTGTTCTCTTTTTAGTGGGGTCTCTATCTGGTTTGGGAATCAAGGTTAACGCAAATCTATAAACATCAAGACATTATGGTACTGGAACAAAAACAGACACATAGACCAATGGAATAGAACCGAGAACCCAGAACTGGGCCCACAAACGTATGGCCAACTAATCTTCGATAAAGCAGGAAAGAGCATCCAATGGGAAAAAGTCTCTTTAGCAAAGGGTGCTGGGAGAACTGTAGAGCAACATGCAGAAGAATGAAACTGAACCACTTTCTTACACCATATTCAAAAATAAACTTAAAATGGATGAAAGACTTAACTGTGAGACAGGAAACCAATCAAAACCCTATAGGAGAAAACAGGCAACAACCTCTTTGACTTCAGCTACAGCAACTCCTTACTTAACATGTCTCCAAAGGCAAGGGAAATAAAAGCAAAAACGAACTATTGGGACCTCATCAAGATAAAAAGCTTCTGCAATGCAAAGGAAACCAACAAAACTAAAACGCAACCAACGGAATGGAAGAAGATATTTGCAAATGACCTATCAGATAAAGGGTTAGTATCCAAAATCTATAAAGAACTTACCAAACTTAACACCTGAAAAACAAATAATCCAATGAGGAAATGGGCAGAAGACATGAACACTTTTCCAAAGAAGACATCCAGATGGCCAACAGACACATGAAAAGATGCTCGACATCACTCATCATCAGGGAATTACAAATCAAAACCACATTGAGATACCACCTCACACTGGTCAGAGTGGCTAAAGTTAACTCAGGAAACAAGAGATGTTGACAAGGACGTGGAGAAATAGGAACCCTCTTGCACTGTTGGTGGGAATACAAGTGTGCAGCCACTCTGGAAAACAGGTGGAGGTTCCTCAAAAAATTAAAAATAGAACTACCCTACAACCCAGCAATAGCACTACTAGGAATTTACCCAAGGGATACAGGAGTGCTAATTCACAGGGCCACATGTACCCCAATGTCTATGGCAGCACTTTTAACAAAAGTGGAAAATCATGGAAACAAAAATAGCCAAATTATGGAAAGAGCCTAAATGTCCATCGACTGATAAATGGATAAAAAAGATGTGGTTTATATATACAATGGAATACTACTTGGCAATGAGAAAGAATGAAATCTGGCCATTTGCAACAATGTGGATGGAACTGGAGGGTATTATGCTAAGCAAAATAAGTCCATCAGATAAAGACAGATACGCTATGTTTTCACTCATATGCGGAAGTTGATAACAGAAGACCATGGGAAATGGAAGGGGAAAAATAGTTTCAAAGAGAGAGGGAGGCAAACCGTAAGAGACTCTTAAATACAGAGAGCAAACTGAGGGTTGATGGGGGGAAGGTGAGGAGGGCACTTGTTGGGATGAACACTGGGTGTTGTATGTAAGTGATGAATCATGGGAATCTACTCCCGAACCCAAGAGCACACTATATACACTGTATGTTAGCCAA